TGCGATCCCATTAGTTTCTTGTGGCAGCTGTGACGCATCACCACACGCTTGGTGGGTTAAAGCAACACACATTTATTTTCTCACAGTCCTGGAGGTCAGTAGTCCAAAATCAGACTCAGTGGCCCAGAATCAAGGTGTCGGCAGGGCTGTTTGCTTTTGGAGGCTCTGAGAAGAGAATCCGTGTCCTCGCCTTCTCCAGCTGCCTTCCTTGCACTCCTTGGCTTGCAGCCCCGGCCTCCATCTTCAAAGCCAGCAGCAGAGCGTCTTGCTTCAAATGTCATCTATGTCAAATCACCCTGTTTCTCTCTTCTAGGGACTTGTAATAGTCTTCAGGCCCCACCTGAATACTCCACGGTAACCTTCCCTTCTCAGAACCCTTAACCAAATCACACCTGCAGAGTCTCCTTTGCAGTCAACATCCACGGGTTCCGGAGAATAGGGCCTGATGGCTTTGGGGGCCATGACTCAGCCTACCGCAGTGACCCTTCCTCACACACATCCTCGCCACCCCGTCTGCCCTACAGAGACAAACAGGATGTGATGCATGTGAGAGCCTTGATGAGATGTGAAGAGCCCTTCTGCCTCAGGGCCTTTGCACAGTCTGTTATCGCTGCCTGGAACGTCCATCCTTCTACACACACATTCACATATGGCAGATTCCTTCACATCTTAGAGGTTTTATCACCTCCTCAAGAGGCCTTCCCACCCCCACCCTGTGTCTCAGCACCTCCGCACTGATCACAGTTTGTCATTGCCTTGATACGTCTTGGTTTGTGTGTTTCTTATCTGTCTCCTTGGAAGACTGCTGACTTTTTGTCCCCATCAGTACCACCTTCGTATGCTCCTTCCCCTCTTCCCTGTTCCCCACACTAGACCCTTCCTAAGCCCCCAAGCAGCTGGCTCTTCCAATAGAATCAAAAAGGAAGGAATCTTTTGAGGAGGAAGGAACCAAACACACCCAGGGTCCGCCAACTGTGGCCCACCGTCTGATTTTGTGAATGAAGTTCTCCTGGAACACAGCCAACTTCATTCATTTATGTATTTTCTGAGGCTGCTTCTCTCTACAATGGCAGAGTTGAGCAGTTGAAGCAGAGATGGTGCGGCTCATAATCCCAACATATTTGCTCTCAGGCCTTTTACAGAGGTTTGCCAACCCCCGAAATAGCCCCTCCGATCCAAAGCTACCCACTTCACAGATGGAGACACTGAGAGACAAACGTTTGCAGGCCAGAGCCAGAGTCCTACTGTGAGTCCACAGTCAGGACTGGGATTTATTCTGCGGAATCCCAAACTACGCTTCTCCCACCCACACAGTACGCCACCCTCTTTAACACCCTGCTCCTCCCCCACCACAGATGGTCGCCCTCAGCACCAGCTCCGCCCACATGTTTCAGAAAGGCCCCGAGGTGTAGGTTCTCGATCTCCTGCTTGAATCTGGGCCTAACATGCTTCCTGAGCTGACTTGTTCCTCAACCCTGCAACAGGCCATCTGAACTTTTTCCTCCCTCCCAGAGCTTCTGATGCCACCCCACAGACTTTGTCTTCCAAAGCCATAGCAAAGACTTCAGGGGCCACTGCCCTGTTTGAGTTGATCGTGCCCCCCAACTTGGATCACCCTGGGGCCACCTGGTCAGGAGTTATTAAACCTGGCTTGCTCCAGAGTCCTCAGAGGAGCTTCTACAGAATGCGGATTCCCAGGCCCGTTGAACTAAAACTCTGGGGGTGAAACCGGAGCCTTGGCAATGCTCACTCACAGCCTTGGTGATTCTAATGTTAAAACAACCCACAGAAGTGCTTCTGTCACTCATGAGCTCTTCTAGGTCCTACTCACTACAGACCTCTTCAGACCAAAGCCTAGAGCCCGTGGAACAAGGTTGTCCTGAATAATCTTGTCCTGAATAATCTATAAGGAGAATGCAGTCTTTTTACCCTCGGCATGCTTCCCCTTCTTAACACAAGGCCCTAGGATTCTTTCCCATTCCCAACTCCTCCAAAAGAAATATCACATCATACTATTTTCTCCCTCTGAGTAAACAAGATAAGGAGACTTTAAAATGCATTGCTGGCAAAAAAAAAATTCATGAGCTTATAAACTATTGAGGTCAGAGTGACGAAAGGAAGGCAATGTGAAAGGCAAGAATAGGTACACAGAGGATTCCCGAGGAGGCTGGAGTCCTAGGGATCAGGGTTTCTCATTCTGATGCTCGCCGGCAGTCTTGGTCAAGGTGCTGTTCTGAAGGCAGCCGAGCCTTGTTCTCCTCTTCGGCATTCATCAGGACTTGGCTGCTTGCCCTGGGCCTGGGCATCTCACAGGAGCCAGCAGCCAAGGGCAGGACTGGCGGTTGCGGGCTGTGCTTCAGGGGCACCAGGCAAAGGAAAGGCGGGAGCAGCAGGGGGCGGTGCAGGTGCCTCCACACGACAACCTGGGGGTTCTTCCTAAGCACCCGGAGCCGGTTTCAGCAGTGATGGCGACATGGTGTCAAAAATAAGTCCTGCTCACCTGAGACAGTAGGAGCCAATTCAATTTCAAGTCAGCAAGTGTTTATTGAGTGCCTAACTCAGTTTAGGTGATGGAGAGAAGGAGGCGGTGCAGGCGACAGCCTGAGCAGCAGGCCGATTCCGGCAGAAATCGCCTAGGAGTCTGTCCCTCAGCTCCCTGGGTCCACAAGCTCGATTTTTATCCATTTCACCCAGTAAAAAATTGGTAAATATCAGTCTGGTTCATGAACAAATATTTATTAAGTGCTTAGAGCCTGCCAGACACTATCCTGGGGCTGGGGGAACTAAGTAAGCAGCCTTAGGCCCCTGCTATGCAGTTTCTGTTCTAATGGGGCATCTGCAAGGCCAGGGGGTCAGGCCAGTGCAGTGGGGTCTTCCATGGGAGGGGCCAGGGGTGGTGAAGTTATCAGGAGAGATGTTGTTGAGGGAGAGGTGGGGTTTGAAGTGTGGTCTGAAGGTTAAGTGGAGTGTGAGTTTAGAAAGGGCTGGAGGCCATTCAGACCAGGGTCTGAGCTGCGTCAACAGGACCGAACGTGGCCTGCCATCAAGGGTCCATGGCCAGATCACCTCCCCTGGGGTAACAGGGGCATGCTGGGTAACAGTGTGTCCTGGGAAAGTGGCCAGAAGAATGTGGGCGTCATGTGGGGGCATGGCACATGGGCTGTGCAGTCAGGCGACTCGGCTCCGACTCCCAGCGCTTTCGGACTTGCACACCCTCTGATCCCAGGCGCGCTGCTTAGCCTCAACCTGCTTTATTCTCCTAATCTAAAAAACAGGCGTGGTCATAACCAGCAGCATGCAGGTTGGTTCCAAGCATCTAGATGAGATCATGAATGGGATTAACTGAGATAAAATGTTAACAACAACAACAAAAAGGCTTAACGGTTTAATATTATTCACATTGGATGAATGGCCTGGTCTTTAGGAAAACTGGAACCTGTCACCAAAGTCTTGGTGGGATGCTTATGACAGACATCTGCACACAGCATGGGTTGGCTGCCTTGTAACCCCATCTGTTTACTGCCCTTTCGCTCCCATGGCAACCAGGCTGGACTGAGTGGCAGCGCCCGCGCTGGGATGAGGCAGGACAGGCTTTTGCATGACCTGGCTGCCTCAGATTTTGCACCCCTGGTACCCCACTTGCCTCACCCTAGGCCCCACCCTGCTGAGTGGTTAGATACCTCCTTGACCTACACGGTCTGTTTCTCAAAGTGTGGTCCTTGTTCTGCCTAAGTCAGTATCATGGGGGCTGCTTATTAAAACTAGATTCCCGACCCTGTGCAATCAGCATCTCTGGGGGAAAGGCCGGGGATGTGCTTTTTAACACGCGCACCCACGCATGCGCACGCACACGCACTCAGTCACACACCAGGCTATTCCCAAGCCCTGTATCAATACCTCAGAGCAGAATTCTTTGAGTGTGGCCCTCAGCCCAGCAGCATCAGTATCACCGTGGTTAGAAATGCAAATTCTGGGCCACCTCCCTCATCTACCGAATCCAACACTCCAGGAGTGGGGCCCAGCAATCTGTCTTTTAACAAGCCCTCCAGATAATTTGGTCATACCTTCAATGCCTGTGGGGAAGGTTTTGAAAACTACCAATTAAATCAGAGCCCCTGACAGGACTCAAGTATCAGTATTTTTCAAAAGCCCTGGCCCCACCCCCACCCCTTAATCCTAATGTGAGGGCGGAGTTTATAGTAATTAGTGGAAGAAATAGGCAGATGGCACAGATGTGGTGCACTTAGAAAGTTATAGTTGAGCCACAGGCCTTGCCTCAGTTGGTTCTCGAAAGGGGCTGGGCGCCCTGCTGTGATCCCAGGAGCCAGTGAGGACTTCCAGGCTCCCAGAGCTTGTGTGTGTGTGTTGGGGGTGGGGGGTTGCCCCTCCCCCGCCTTGGGCCCTGGCTTCGCTGGCTGCGGCTGGCGGCTGCCTGCTGACTTGGCTCTCTTTCCGCTTTCCCTAGGTGCCAAAGCCTGGTGCTTGGACGGAGCTCAGGGCTGGGAGAGCACAGAGGGGTGGCAGGGAGCCAGCTGGGGATGGCAAGGCAGAGCGGAAGGACGCCTTAACACTGGGCCCAGAATAGGGAGCCCCAAGTACCAATAACCCAGGCACTGTGGTGGAGGGAGGGCGGGGGAGGCTTCTGCTAAGCACCAGACCCAGTGCTTGGTGCTTTAAGTGAGTCATCTCCTTTAGGTTCACATGATCTCTGAGGGAGATAATCCTCAGAAGAGTCCCATCTTAGGCTTTCAAAGTCACTGCGTCCCAGGCTTACAGATGAGGAAACTGAGGCCCAGAGACTCGGGAGAGCCTGCCCCGAAGTCCCCAGAGCGGTCGGGATGTCTCCAAAGGCTCTCCCACTATTCCGGATTCCAGAGGCAGGGCCTCCGGGGAAAGCGGGGGTGGGGGTACGGAGGTGGGGGGCCGGGGGGTGGGGCTGAGCCGGCAGCCCCCGCGGCCCTAGCCGCCCTAACTTGTCTCCGCGTCCCTCCCCCGTGCAGGCCCTTCCTCGTGCTGCCTCCGCTGATGGAGTGGATCCGGGTGGCCGTGGCTCACGCTGGCCACCGCCGCAGCTTCTCCATGGACAGCGACGACGTCCGCCAGGCGGCCCGGCTGCTGCTGCCCGGCGTGGACTGCGAGCCGCGCCAGCTCAGGTAGGGGCGGCGGGCGGGGCGCAGGGAGGGCCGGGCACCCTTCCCGGACGCCGCCAGCCGGCATCCCGCTGCTAAGAGACCGCGGGCGGCCTGCGGGGCTCGGACTCACTGCATCCACCCCTCCAACCCGAGTCCTGCAGATCGGCTTGCCCAGGCGAGCAGGTTGCCTCGCCGGGATTGGGGCCCCGCTGGTTTAAATGACAGACTGGGCTTAACAATAAGCGGGTCCCTGGAGTTCCAGGGATGGAGGACAGGAACAAGGCTGTGTGGGAATGCTCTGATTCTTGGATTGCAAGATATTGGGTGCCTTGATTCTGTTCGTATTCTTCCTATGCTCTCTCTGTCTCCCCTCCCCCTCTCCTTGTCCGCTCTCTCCTTCTTCCCTCTCTTTTTCTCTCTCCATAAGAAGTAAATTATGACCTTCCTGTAGTTCTCTAACAAAATCTTGCAGAGTAAAATTTCTAGCTGGGTAAGAGTGCACCTCTGCTTTTTCACGTGCATGGGGATACAGTGACTCTCTGTTTCTCAGGCCTGTATCCAGGTTTCCCCTCCATCCGGGCGGGAGCTATTTACGGGACCTCATTTTTGTCCAAAACAAAAGAAATGAAACAACAACTCACTCAGCTGAGTCAAAACCTGGCTCCAAATACAGAAAGCACAGGAACGCAGAAGAGTGTGTGTGCACGTTCCTGAGTCCCTGTGCTGTTTGCCAGGTGGTCCTTGTTAGCATTCCCAAACCCCTCCACTGCCCACCCAGTGAGAAACCGTCCTGTTCGTGGGGCCCAATCCTGTGAGCAGGCTGGAGAGATTTCCTCCCTTCTGGGATCTGATATGGAGATGGAGCTTTTGCAGTGTAACACATGTAGCCCAGTGGAGGCCCAAAGGTACCCTCAGCCCAAGGCCATGCAGGGTGCTGATTCAAGTCTTCATTGCTCACATTTATTGAATGCTTACTGCATGCTGGGCACTGTTCTAAGGGCTTTAAACAGATTCATTATATCTACTAGTCCCCAGGCCCTACCAGGGGCATGCCATTATGCCCATTGTGCAGAGAAGGAACCTGGGGCACAGAAAGGTTAAATAGCACACTGGGGGGCACAGGACTATAAGCAGTGGAGCCAGGGTTTGAGTTCCGGCAGCCCAGACCCCCAGCTCATCATTCTAACCACTGTGCTGTGCTATCCTCAGCTTCCTGTCCAGGCAGCTCCTGGCTGTGCTGCCATTCCTTGCGCCTTGTCACCTAGAATAACAGCAGGTCTCAGGAAAGTGAGAAGCAGCCATTTATTGAGCATTTACTATGTGCATGTATCTACTGCAACAAGACATTTGTATTGGTTACTTGTCTCCTTCAATCCCAAAAGCAGCCTCCTAGGGTTAGTGTAATCTTCCCCTTTCACAGATTAGGAAGCTATTGCGGGGACCGCTTATAAGTGGAGGCACCTGGGATGAGATCTTTGCGGCTCATTATCCAAAGTCCATCCTCTGCCCACCTGACTCTCCTGCCTCTTTCCTGGGCGTGGCATTTGACCTGCAGGCTCACTTCCTCCACCCTTGCTCACTGCCCCAGGTGCCACCTGGCATGACCCTGAGACTCCAGCTGTCCTCCTTGCAGCAGGCCTGGGGATGCTGGGTGGCAAGAAAAGTAAGATGTTTTCTTAGCTCTTGCTGACAAAGTACTCCTTGTTTTTCATGCTCTCAGGAGATGCAATGGCTTAAAGGTTAGAAATCTGGGTCCCAGAGTCCCATTACCTGGGTTCAAGTCCTACTGCTATGATTAATTAGCTGTACAACTTTGGGCAAGCTAGTTGTCTTCTCTGGACCTTAGTTTTCCCACCCAATACATGAGCATAGTAATAGCAGCTCCCCTCGGAGTTGGGTGCAAGCAGGAAGTGGGATCATGAACTTGAAGCACCTACACGTACAATGCTTATAAGGAGGAAGTGCTCATGACCTGACCTTCGTTGTTAGCTGGTATTGCCCCAAGTCTGTGTCCCTGACATAGGAATGGAGGCTCCTGCCTAGGTGTTGCTTTATATTCTTAAAGGCTTTTAACCCTTTTTTATGTGAGCCTCCTAAACAAACACTGTTGTTATCTAGGAAAGTAGTGTCTCATTTTGTAGAGGAAGAAATCAAGGCCCAGCAAGATTAGGTAACTCTCCCAACATCACACAGATATTGACAGAACTGGGAACCAGATATCAAACCCAGACATCCAGAGATATAACCAAGCTTTCTGGTCCCCACCCTAGCCCTAGACTCAGCCCTCTGGGAAGACACTGAGAGCCCTCTTCCAGATGCTTCTAATCCTTATCGTGATTCTACAGACTGCACATGAGCTCCCACTGTTCATCTCTCTGCCCACCCTCCAACACGGAGCTTCCATTACACGGTCTAGTGACCCAGTGTGTGTCCTTCTGACACTCACACCGAGGAGTTCCATTTCAGCCCTGTCCAGTCCGAGGCCCTGGTGCTGGTGCTCGGGTGTGAGTGTGACCCCCGTGTGGGCCAGAGTGCACCCACGCAAAGCCGGGAAACAAGAGAAGTCAGTTCTCTGTCAGTCTCGAGGCTGTTTCTGCTCATTTGTGTCTCAGCTCGTGACTCATTGGTGTCTAGAAGGGTGATTTGCATGTAGAAAATATACTAATTGATTGTTGCAGCTCAATTTTCAAGTTCAGAAATCATTTTTAAAGAGAAAGTTAAAATATGGTGTTTTATCAGCTTTCTGAACAAGTATAAACTTATGAGTTCCATTAATTAGCTTGGATTCAGCACATGAAAGAATGAATGAGATATTTTTTAAATAACTATTTTTTTCAGTGGAGGCCACACAAAGATACATCTGTACATATATTTTCCAGTCCCAATGGGGATGTGAAGTTGGAATCGCTGTCTCCAGTCTGCAGGTAGCAGGATCAGAGTAGTTTTATGCATGGAGATATTCTTCTTACTCTGCACCTTGCACCAACTGTCTTCATGGTATTACCCTATTTTACAGAGAGGAAAGCTGAGGCTAACTGAGGTTATGGAACTTGTCCAAGGTCACACAGCTGCTGTGAAGCAGACAAAACCTAGAACGGAGGTCTTGGCCTGGGGAGATAAAACATACAGTCTCCTTGTCTCTCTGTTCTCCCAGACATTCAACTTCTTTGAAGTTGCCAGACTGGCTCCTCGTGCTGAGTTCATCAGAGCTGAGCTCCTCTTTCTACATAAACAGCCCTAGAAAAGTAGGGGTGGTTTGGCAGTCCAACAAACGCAGGAACTTGGAACCTGGACCTTGGTGTTGGCGGCTAGTGTCTGTGACTGTTAGCGCTTATAATCACCTGCCAGCTGGCCAAGGTTTCCTGGTGGGAAGCGGCCGGACAGAGCGACCAGAGAGTCAGGGGATCCTAGGTCTGACGCTGGTGCTGCCATTGATTTTCAGAGTGACCTTGGTCAAATGCTGTGCGATTTCCGCTTCGCTCTTCACTCAGCTACAGTAAAGCCTCACCACCAAAGGAATATCATTTGATGCAGCTGCCATTTGTAAGGAGTGACCCATGCATTCCTCCTTCATTAAGGCACCCGATCATCTAAACCAGGGAAATTTGGCCTTTTTTTTTTCTTTCCAGCCCTTTGGGAGGTGGGGAAGGGGCAGTAGAATAAGGGAAAGAACAAATAATACCCCCTTGGCAGGGTTTGTACTTTTTAGAAAATTTGTTAGTTTTGAAACATTTTAAAAATACAAAGTTGTTTTTCCCATATTTCTAAGAGGCAGTTTTTCTGCTCCAAAGTGAGGCTGCGTTAAAATAATAGTTGTAAGGGCTCCTCCCAGATCCCATCTTACTGGATAAATGGCACCAACCCACAGGATTCAGGGGTTGTTAGAACCATGAGCTCCCTCCGAGAAATGGTTCGTGTTTCTGCAGGAGTTTTTGCAGAGGTGTTTGTTGGTACCCAGCTTTGGCGCTGTATCCCTGGGGATAAGTTTGGGGGCGGTAAGTAATAAGTAACGGGATGGGCCTCAGGAGACCCGGCTCATCACATCCTTTCCTTCACTCTGTCATGATATTTACTGAGCAGCCACTAAGGGCCAGGCCCCACACTGGATGCTGTCACCTGGGTCTGCTGCTCTCTAGAAGGCGACCTTGGGCAAGTCACTCCCCCCCTCTCACGGGGCTATGTGCACTCCCTGTAAAGATGGGGAGACAACCGCTCCTCTTCCCAGAGGAGCCTCAGTGTAGCAGGGGTCCAACCCACAGCCCGCCGTCTGCATGCAGCCCGGGACAGCCGTGAATGCAGCCCAACGCAAAATCGTAAAGTTACTTAAAACAGTGTGAGATTTCTTTTGTGGTTACATGTCACCGTGTATTTCATCTGTGGCCCAAGACAACCCTTCTTCTTCCAGTGTGGCCCAGAGATGCCAAAAGGTTGGACACCCCTGGACTGTGCAAGGTCATATGTGAATTTAATGAATTGCATCGCTGTTTGATCTGCTACCTTTAACGCTTCCCAGGTCTCCTGGGCACCTTTCAAGGTTTTACTGTTTGTCCAGTGAAGGGTCAGACTGGGTTCTAAGGTAAAGGTTGTGTTACATTTGCACCTGTCCTAAAATTCCAGTTCCTCATACTGTCCTATAATGACAGCTGAAAGTTTGGGTTCATTCACTAAGCATGTAAGGGGTATAATGAATGGCCCACCAGGCCCTGTGCGGGCCGCAGGGGTACCGAGTCAGGAAAGGCCCAGCTGCTGCCCAGGAAGGTCACGTAGGAGACAGCCAGGGTGCTAGAAGAATCTCTGAAGCATGGAATGCCGACCATTTCATCAGGGGCACTGATCTCTTCTCCCTTAGATTGTCCAAAAACAATGACAACAGCCACACCAATAGCCATCCAGTGTGAATGAATCAAAATTATACCTGGTGGGGTGTTTTTTTTTTGTCAGATTGGCAAAAAATACATTTTTTGATGTGCTGCAAAATTTTAGTAATTAGTTTATTTGTGCCACAACATGAAAGGGGTTGG